TTTTTTTTTTTTTTTTTTTTTTTTTTTTTTTTTTTTTTTTTTTTTTTTTTTTTTTTTTTTTTTTTTTTTTTTTTTTTTTTTTTTTTTTTTTTTTTTTTTTTTTTTTTTTTTTTTTTTTTTTTTTTTTTTTTTTTTTTTTTTTTTTTTTTTTTTTTTTTTTTTTTTTTTTTTTTTTTTTTTTTTTTTTTTTTTTTTTTTTTTTTTTTTTTTTTTTTTTTTTTTTTTTTTTTTTTTTTTTTTTTTTTTTTTTTTTTTTTTTTTTTTTTTTTTTTTTTTTTTTTTTTTTTTTTTTTTTTTTTTTTTTTTTTTTTTTTTTTTTTTTTTTTTTTTTTTTTTTTTTTTTTTTTTTTTTTTTTTTTTTTTTTTTTTTTTTTTTTTTTTTTTTTTTTTTTTTTTTTTTTTTTTTTTTTTTTTTTTTTTTTTTTTTTTTTTTTTTTTTTTTTTTTTTTTTTTTTTTTTTTTTTTTTTTTTTTTTTTTTTTTTTTTTTTTTTTTTTTTTTTTTTTTTTTTTTTTTTTTTTTTTTTTTTTTTTTTTTTTTTTTTTTTTTTTTTTTTTTTTTTTTTTTTTTTTTTTTTTTTTTTTTTTTTTTTTTTTTTTTTTTTTTTTTTTTTTTTTTTTTTTTTTTTTTTTTTTTTTTTTTTTTTTTTTTTTTTTTTTTTTTTTTTTTTTTTTTTTTTTTTTTTTTTTTTTTTTTTTTTTTTTTTTTTTTTTTTTTTTTTTTTTTTTTTTTTTTTTTTTTTTTTTTTTTTTTTTTTTTTTTTTTTTTTTTTTTTTTTTTTTTTTTTTTTTTTTTTTTTTTTTTTTTTTTTTTTTTTTTTTTTTTTTTTTTTTTTTTTTTTTTTTTTTTTTTTTTTTTTTTTTTTTTTTTTTTTTTTTTTTTTTTTTTTTTTTTTTTTTTTTTTTTTTTTTTTTTTTTTTTTTTTTTTTTTTTTTTTTTTTTTTTTTTTTTTTTTTTTTTTTTTTTTTTTTTTTTTTTTTTTTTTTTTTTTTTTTTTTTTTTTTTTTTTTTTTTTTTTTTTTTTTTTTTTTTTTTTTTTTTTTTTTTTTTTTTTTTTTTTTTTTTTTTTTTTTTTTTTTTTTTTTTTTTTTTTTTTTTTTTTTTTTTTTTTTTTTTTTTTTTTTTTTTTTTTTTTTTTTTTTTTTTTTTTTTTTTTTTTTTTTTTTTTTTTTTTTTTTTTTTTTTTTTTTTTTTTTTTTTTTTTTTTTTTTTTTTTTTTTTTTTTTTTTTTTTTTTTTTTTTTTTTTTTTTTTTTTTTTTTTTTTTTTTTTTTTTTTTTTTTTTTTTTTTTTTTTTTTTTTTTTTTTTTTTTTTTTTTTTTTTTTTTTTTTTTTTTTTTTTTTTTTTTTTTTTTTTTTTTTTTTTTTTTTTTTTTTTTTTTTTTTTTTTTTTTTTTTTTTTTTTTTTTTTTTTTTTTTTTTTTTTTTTTTTTTTTTTTTTTTTTTTTTTTTTTTTTTTTTTTTTTTTTTTTTTTTTTTTTTTTTTTTTTTTTTTTTTTTTTTTTTTTTTTTTTTTTTTTTTTTTTTTTTTTTTTTTTTTTTTTTTTTTTTTTTTTTTTTTTTTTTTTTTTTTTTTTTTTTTTTTTTTTTTTTTTTTTTTTTTTTTTTTTTTTTTTTTTTTTTTTTTTTTTTTTTTTTTTTTTTTTTTTTTTTTTTTTTTTTTTTTTTTTTTTTTTTTTTTTTTTTTTTTTTTTTTTTTTTTTTTTTTTTTTTTTTTTTTTTTTTTTTTTTTTTTTTTTTTTTTTTTTTTTTTTTTTTTTTTTTTTTTTTTTTTTTTTTTTTTTTTTTTTTTTTTTTTTTTTTTTTTTTTTTTTTTTTTTTTTTTTTTTTTTTTTTTTTTTTTTTTTTTTTTTTTTTTTTTTTTTTTTTTTTTTTTTTTTTTTTTTTTTTTTTTTTTTTTTTTTTTTTTTTTTTTTTTTTTTTTTTTTTTTTTTTTTTTTTTTTTTTTTTTTTTTTTTTTTTTTTTTTTTTTTTTTTTTTTTTTTTTTTTTTTTTTTTTTTTTTTTTTTTTTTTTTTTTTTTTTTTTTTTTTTTTTTTTTTTTTTTTTTTTTTTTTTTTTTTTTTTTTTTTTTTTTTTTTTTTTTTTTTTTTTTTTTTTTTTTTTTTTTTTTTTTTTTTTTTTTTTTTTTTTTTTTTTTTTTTTTTTTTTTTTTTTTTTTTTTTTTTTTTTTTTTTTTTTTTTTTTTTTTTTTTTTTTTTTTTTTTTTTTTTTTTTTTTTTTTTTTTTTTTTTTTTTTTTTTTTTTTTTTTTTTTTTTTTTTTTTTTTTTTTTTTTTTTTTTTTTTTTTTTTTTTTTTTTTTTTTTTTTTTTTTTTTTTTTTTTTTTTTTTTTTTTTTTTTTTTTTTTTTTTTTTTTTTTTTTTTTTTTTTTTTTTTTTTTTTTTTTTTTTTTTTTTTTTTTTTTTTTTTTTTTTTTTTTTTTTTTTTTTTTTTTTTTTTTTTTTTTTTTTTTTTTTTTTTTTTTTTTTTTTTTTTTTTTTTTTTTTTTTTTTTTTTTTTTTTTTTTTTTTTTTTTTTTTTTTTTTTTTTTTTTTTTTTTTTTTTTTTTTTTTTTTTTTTTTTTTTTTTTTTTTTTTTTTTTTTTTTTTTTTTTTTTTTTTTTTTTTTTTTTTTTTTTTTTTTTTTTTTTTTTTTTTTTTTTTTTTTTTTTTTTTTTTTTTTTTTTTTTTTTTTTTTTTTTTTTTTTTTTTTTTTTTTTTTTTTTTTTTTTTTTTTTTTTTTTTTTTTTTTTTTTTTTTTTTTTTTTTTTTTTTTTTTTTTTTTTTTTTTTTTTTTTTTTTTTTTTTTTTTTTTTTTTTTTTTTTTTTTTTTTTTTTTTTTTTTTTTTTTTTTTTTTTTTTTTTTTTTTTTTTTTTTTTTTTTTTTTTTTTTTTTTTTTTTTTTTTTTTTTTTTTTTTTTTTTTTTTTTTTTTTTTTTTTTTTTTTTTTTTTTTTTTTTTTTTTTTTTTTTTTTTTTTTTTTTTTTTTTTTTTTTTTTTTTTTTTTTTTTTTTTTTTTTTTNGCTTTATTTGAGTCTCTGATTAATAAAAAGCGACGAAACACCATTTTAAAGTGCATTTTTATTCAACTAATATATTTATAAATGATATGTAGTCCCAAAAGTAGCCAAAGCGCCAAATGATATTTTTTTACGTCAAACTAAAAAAAGTAGCCACGTTTGGTGCAATGTAGCCAAATCTTGCGACGCTGGAAGGAATACTAAATAAAGCTGGAGTTGTGAATCAAAGGATTATAGAGTCAAATTCGGAAAAAGAAGAGCAAGGACAAAAGATAAAGTAGTGAGAAAGATTGGAAAATTAAGACTCAATATTTGCCTAACAGAAGAACTATTTAACCTTTCTGACAACTTTTTATCTTTCGTCTTTTCTCTCCTTTCACCAAATTTGGGTCTATAATCCTTTGAGTCACAACTCAAGCTTTATTTAGTAATCCTTCCTCATTCACACATCTCCAAGTACATGAAAATATTTCATTTCCACTCAAAACTAAAATATGAATAAAGGTTTATGGCTTTGTGAAACTTCTTTTCTGAGTTTATGCCGTTGAAATAAATAAATAATAAAAAATTAAAACATTTGTCGGTTTTGTTTACACCTTTATTGGGCCGCATTGGAACTTGTCTTGGGCCGCATGCGGCCCGCGGGCTGTGGGTTGGACACCCCTGATTTAGATGAAAAAAAAATATGATAAAAACTAATCCAATATCAGCTGTTTTATGGTGCAAAAAAATACAGCAATATTATCTGATTGTGATTTTGTAATCAGAATTTTTTAAATGTAAAATTATCATACTGTTTATCTGTAGATTATCTGTAGGTTATCTGTGTTTAAAAGATCATTTGTAAGGAGGTGCAGTTTATGCAATAGGGTGGGTTATGTGCTGATTTTAAATTTCAATTATGTATGTGATTGGGCACGTTATGCAAAGGTTTCATTCCAGCAATTTTCTGTGGGATATATACAGGGTGGGCCATGAATTTGTAAACATTTAAAAAAAATTATATAAAAAAACTATTTGACTTGTTTTTTTTTTTTATTTACAAGATAGCCAATTTATGGGAATTTACTTTTTAAAAATAATATCATCTAAATGACCACCATCTCGATTTTGACATTCTTCTAAGTGAGTACAGAAATTTTCAAAGACTCGTCAGCAAAGAGGCTGTGAGATAGCAGCCATTTCTTCTCTAATTTTTGCTTTTAATTGAAGCAGTGTCTTTGGCTTATTAGTGTAGACACAATTCTTCAAATAACCCCACAAAAAGAAATCTGCTGGGAACAAATCAAGACTCCTGGGTGGCCATGGGATGTCGCCTCTCCTGGAAATAAGCTTTTCCGGAAACATCTCTTTAACTACAGGCAGGGACTCATAAATTTAAACATTAGGCTTTAGTTCCTGCACTATCTGGATCTTGTATGGATGTAACTTCAAATCAGATTTCAAAATACGGCATAAAGATGAGTGGGATATTCCTAATTCAGCTGAACATTTGTGCCTCAATAAATGTGGATCACATTGAACTGAAGTGGCAACTTTCTGCATGTTCTCTTAACTCCAAGAAGGCCGTGGGCTGCCGGTATGCTTTATATTTAGTGTCGATCCCGTCTCTTCAAACTTTTTTACCCATTTTTTTTATTAAACCAACACTCGGACACTGATTCAAGTTGTGCAAATCGTATTCAACATGACATAAGCGCCTCATAGTAATGAACAAATTATTGTTTAAATAAAATTGTTTTATGCTTCAGCCCCATGAAGCAATGCATTGCGACTAAATTTTCCAGAAATGAGCTAGCAGTAAGACTGCTCCCCGTGCCCCCCTACTGCTTGTGTTTGCACGGGAAGTTCGATTTAAATGTTTACAAATTCTTGGCCCACCCTGTACTATTACAGGTTATGTCAACACAGGCTATATGCATGAAAATATGGTAGCTTATAGTTATTTTTTACAATTTGTCAATTATATATATATTTCACTTAAAAATAATGTTTTCGTATAGGTTGGAAAGCACACAATAATGCAATTTTTGATTTATGTTGGCTGAATGATGAATACAAGATAATAACAGCATCAGGTGATCAGCAAGCCATCCTGTGGAATCCAGATACGGAAACAAAATTAGGTGTTTTTAAAGGCCACAGCAGTAGTATTAAATGTGTGTCTTGTCAACCCAATAGTAAAGGTATTTTTTTTGTTTAGTTATTCTAAAATTACATGTGATTCTAGAGAATTTTTTTAATATATTAATTAACATTTACAGATACATTTGCAACTGCATCAAGAGACGGAAATATTATGATATGGGATATTAGGTGCAATAAAAATCGTAAGTTATAAAATATTTTGTATTACATGATATAAGAATATTTTTAATATTTTATAAAAGTATTATTTAATGATCTGATTATTATTCTTATTTTAGAAGAAGATAATACTTTTCAACCTGTTATAACAATTAGAGATGCTCACAATGCTGCATCTCTACTTCCGGGAACTCCAAAGCATCGTGGAAAGAAAGGAGTGTATAATTTAAGTGGTGTAAGTGATCATAAATTATTAAAGTAAAAATTAATATACAGAATATACTATGAGTTATAAAACAATAATTGTAAATTTTATTATTAATTTTGAAATTAGAATCCTTTGAATAGTGTGACATCAATAACGTTTCAAAATGAAAATTTACTGTTCTCGGCTGGAACTGCAGATGCGTAAGTAATTTTTAATAAGTTTATTTAAAAATATTAATTTTTGTTTACTAAAATATATTAATATTTAAAGAGTTATCAAAGTATGGGATTTAAGAAAAAACTATTGTAATACTAAAAAAGAAGCTTTACCATTTAAGAAGTTTCCTTATAAAGGAGTTAGCACAAAAGCTCATGGTATATATTAAATGTATTATTATTTAAGAGTTAATTTTGAATATTTGTAATATATTTTTTGATATCTTCCTTATTATCAGGATATACAAGTTTAGTTTTCAATGAAAACCATACTTTACTTTATGCAAGTTGTACTGATAGTGTCATTTATTCATATAATTGTCATTCGTACAACCCATTACCATGTAAGTATTATTTCTTATTACATTTTCGTTTTTTTTTTAAAGTTATTTTCTCTACAAAAGTATCTTATTAAAATAGTTTAAGCTAAAAGCAATTTGCTTGAATTATGAAAATTATTTAATTTTAGTTTTCTGTTTTCGATTTAGTTATTTATTATTTTATTGTAAAACTAGAATAAAATCTTTCATTTTGAGTTTTTGTTTAATGCTGTGATGAAAGTCTACTTGAAGTCACACTGGAGTTTGTTTTGCAAGTGAGAGAATATTTTTATTTGGAATGTGCGTTTTTGTCTCCATTAGACTTTCCTTCAGGGGTGCCCGTACATTGGGGTATATGAGAAACATGCCTCTTTTTATCTTGGTTGCTCCTTTCCTAATCCCAAAGAGGGTCTCAAATTTTATTATCAACAAATAATAGAAAATAAATGACTTCTAGCAAGCCTATTCTGCAAATATAAAAGACAATAATGAATGATATTTGTCCATTTCCATGTAACTTCTTCGTATGTTGACCAAAACTACATTCCTTGTCAAGATCAAGTTAGCCCTGAGTGCAACCAGCACTACCCTGTGGGAGTGCTGATCCAATGTTGAATCATAGAGTTTGAAGCTCCTTGCATAATGTATGATGTTCTTTTTTATAGCTTGTGCCTCCCCTTTTTGATAGTCTGTGGACACTAATGTATCGTGTGACACAAAAAGGCAGGGTACACAAATTAGGGTTCTAATCAAGTACCGGGCCTGGACTTAACAGGAAAGCAAAATACAATGATCCAAAATAACACATAAGTAAATGTCCACATTAATATTTATTAGATTGAACAGTGTTATATATATGAACAACAATGATTATAACAAGAATTAGTAATAAGTATATGTTTCAAATATTAAAAAAAACAAGTCAAGATTAGTTATATACAAAATAAACAATCAATCAATCAATCAATGAAATTCTTTTTCATACAATTAATTAAATCTCCACCAAAATAAATAAACAAAGAATACACTTCTTGTGAGCTGATTTCTTATCAAAGAATGCCAAACAATTTGCTTCGATGAAGGTCGCTATCAGAAGCTACCATTGAACCACACCATTGAATGGATGTGTCATCTTTTATCTGTCTACCACTGTAACTCCACATTGCCCTATTTACGTATCCATGTGCCACGGAATCAGTTACTTACGTAAATTAGTATATTTAGGTCTTTATTTTTGATTTAGCACATTTTGGGGTTTCTTAGGAGTTTTCACCTTTAAAAAAAAGATCTTGAAAAGAAAATAACAATAACTAAAAATAATGCCCAAAACATAAAATAACTATCAGACTTTGACTCTTTACAGCACTTCTGCTTTCCGTACTTTCAATTTTATCATAATCTTTTTCATATCAGGGATTGTTGCATACATTTATGTATTCTTATTGAATTTTCCAATTATCTGGTATTTTATAGGGTATTTTGTATGTTTTTTTAATAATTTTACTATCACTATTAAGTGAATTTTTCATATGGGTTTATCAAATGCAATCAAATATTTGCTGATTTCTGTGTTGTTTGATTATAATTTTTCAGAAATGTTAATAATGTAATCTATACTAATATTATAAAGAGGTAATGTTTGTATGTAAGTTTGGATGCAGCAGGTAATCTCCAAAACTACTCATCCGATTTCAAAAATTTTTTCACTAATATTTAGAATGGAACTTCAGGGTGGACATAAGCGTACATTATTCCGTTAAACATGGGGGATGGACAGTTCTTTACGGTAAGCCTTTCCCGTAAGGCTTACTGTAAAGAACTCTGCTTCTATTTATACTATTTTAGACGCGGTTTTTTGCATTTTTGATTGCATTTTAATAGGGTACGTCAACAGAATGTACACTAAGAAGGGATTTTTCGATATTCCCCCCGGGGGGAGAGGGACAGGATTAAGGCTTACTGTGAAGAACTTCACTTCTATTATACTATTTTAGATGCGGTTTTTTGCGTTTTTGATTGCGTTTTAATAGGGTACGTCAAGAGAATGTACACTAAGAAAAAATTTTTCGAAAAATTTTTCCCCACGGGGGAAGTGTTATACATTTATAATAGACACATTTTGAGCCACAACAAGGCGTGGCGGGGTCTGCTAGTAATAATATATTTGTGATACTGAACAGATAGATCATGAACAAATTGAGACTGAAAAGAGTTTGATCAAAATAAAAATAGATTCTGCATTAAATAACATTAAAAAAAATTTCTCATATGCAGTGTGGTCCTGATTTCATGAGAATTAGAAATTATGAACTATTCTTTATCTCGTTTTTTAGTATAAGAGATGAAATATTTGATACAATTGCTCTCAAGTATTGACTGAAACTCAAAGATTCTAATTATGAGTATGATGAGATTAAGCATTGTGTGCTTTGAATAGATAGTTCATTGGTTCAGTTTTAATTTCACTTTATTCATACTTTGTCTTGGTTTATTGAAGTTTTCTTATTTTTGTTTTCCGTTTTTTAATGAATTTTAACTCTTTCCATCTGTGGGCACTGACAGTTTTGGCTTCATGAAAAGGGAGTATTGGCATAGTTACTAGGTATCCCAATTCTCCTTTTTATGGAACCAAAACTTATCTATGCTCCTATGAAAGATATTATATGAAAGTCCCTATATATTATAGAGTTGTAGAATGTCTCACAATCAGTATAAAACATCTTTTGTCTGGTTAAAATACTCAAAGGAGAAATGGCTGGACAGTATTATAAAATGGATGGGGAAACTTTTAGGATTGTTTGCAAGACCTTGTATGTTTTCTTGAGTTTGTGAGACTATACTTAAATACAGCATTGAAAATACAATCATAATAGAAAATTTATATTGGCTGCCAAAATGGAAAGTTGAATGAGTTGTAAATCAAGAATCCGTTGTATTGACAAGTAAATTAGTCACTGTGATATTTAATATTTTTAGTATAGATTTTAAGTATGATATTTTAATATCTATTATATATTTTTAGTGGCCACTTATTTTGGACATAAAACTTCAACATTTTTTGTAAAAATGGCCATAAATGGAGATGGTAAATATTTATTAAGTGGATCAAGCGATAATAAAGCATATATATGGAAGGTTAGTGAGTTAATCATTGTATTTAATTAATTATTCAGTAAATTGATTTTTATTTATTTATTTATTGTAGATATCAAAACCAGGAAGGCCTTTTGCTCAGTTGATTGGGCATCAGGCTGAAGTTACAGCTGTTGCTTGGAGTTCAAATGATTTTACTAAAGTAAGAAATAGTTAGTTGTAGATGTATACAATATCTGTGTATTATAATAAGTAGATACTATAATTAATAATATTTTGTACATTGTTTATTTCTAAGATTATATTTAGTAAAATAAATAATTGATTTTCAATTTTATGTAATTATTTACAATTTATATATGTAAATGTGATCAATTACTATAAAAACTATGCATACTGTATTTCATTGCAAGTAAGAGCATACTTGTTTGCATGTTTTTGAAACATGTGTCCTGTTTCCATATAAGGGTCCATTTACACACAACAGTGACTTGACTGTGCAGTGCAGTGATTTTTTGCCAGTGGGAAATTGTTGACCTAGTTTTAAACCACCCTGTCCAGACTCGTCTGTCACAGTGCCATGCAGTGGCAGTGGCATGACCGTACTGTGAAAGTACATTTGACCCAAACAATATTTTCACTGATGGTAAATTTTGTTTTCCAATGGATGACAAACATTTAATTGAAATGGTGCATCAATACCCAGTTTCATTTGATTTATCTCATTCAAAATACATGGACATTGGGTACAAAATGAATATTTCTCTGGTTTGTTTAATAAAATATGAAATGCATGTTGGGACATTCGAAAATATTCAAAAAAAATATAGATTCATCATCTATAATTTTTTATAAAAGAATATGAAACTCCTATTCTGTTGATCTTTTTTGTCAGTGCTTGATGTACTTACTTGTGGTGCTTTCTTGATTGCATTTCTTCTTCTTTTTCATCCAAACATATAGTTATCATAGCCAATTTAGCCTCAGAAAAGTTCATGACCACTCACCAAGAGCACAGTCACGTCACTGTTGTGTGTAAATACTCATCACTATGCTGTGCTTGATGAAATGGTCACTGTGCTGGTAAGTCACTGTTGTATGTAAGTGGACCTTGAGAGCATCCCTTGTATATAAGCAGGGAGCTTTGTTTTCGCTTATAAGAGCACTATACTGCTCTGCCAATGTAAATTAAATGTAAATGTATTGATACAGTAACATCGCTGACATCTCTGGTAATCATTATTAAAAATGAAAAGCCAAAATAAAGAAATTCTTCTGTTACTATAAAAGTTCTTTTAAAAATAGTGAGTGTTATTAGATACTTTGCACAACAGTGCCAGTTTTGCCCCATCTATAAGATCAAGCTCTTATATGCATGGAGATATGGCATATTGTAATTTCATGTGGATAGTTCACAAGCTATTAGTATTTAAAAGTCAATTTGATAGCAGAATTGGCAATGATATGGATTTTAACTTACAATAATGAACTTATCAAACAACTTCTTTATCTAAATTTATCAGGAATATTTTTTAAAAATATGAAAAATCTTTTATGCTGCAGACATACTCATTTACCAATACTAATTTTTTCCAAACTGCTAAACTTACTGTATGCTTTACTTTTACTCCTCCAGTTCATTTTTAATATGCCAATTTATGATGTCTTTAAGAGAACTGTTTAGAAAATTACTGTTGATTTAATCTTATGTTAGTTCTTTACAGTAAGAGCAAATTGATTGTTTCTCAAATCTCTGTTGGATATTATAATATGTGTATACAACTTAACAATGGTAACATTAATGATGATTGTTTTATTTACCACTTATTTAATCTGCATCTACTAGGAGAGCTGTTTTCATCAAGAGTCATGTTATACATGTTAAAGTTTGATTTCTGTTCTAGCAGTTTTTTACAGGGTTCTTTGTTAGTGTGAGTTATACACCTCCGCAGATTATCTGTACAAAATTGATATATAAGGCAAAGATAGAAATAATTCAAACTTTTCATTAGTAAAATCTTTTAATAGTACTTTTTCAAAATGAGAAATTTCAGACTTTGCCAGTTTTCATAGCAATCTTGTTCTTGCTCTTTTTTTGTGTTCTTAAATACACAAATTTCTGCCATCTTTTACAACTTATTCTTATTTTCTGATCCGAAGTTTTCGTCTTAAGTACAGTAAGACCCCACTTAATGTGGGAATGCATTCCTAGACAACAAAGCACTAAATGAAATAGCGTTAAACGAGGTCATTTTATCATAGAATACCATATTTACTCACATATAAGATGACGTCGCATATTGGATGAGATGTGACTTTAAAGATCAAAATAAAGAAAATTAGATTTATTAATACAAGTACAATTCTAATTTTATTTCATTTAATCACAAGTAAAATATCAAATGAAAGTAAATGCACACGTTGTCCCACAAAAATTACTGGCATTTCAAACTTTAAGGAAAAATCTTGTAAAATCAACAACTTAATTTGTTCATGTAAAGCTGGACAATCGGGAATTTTTTTTTTTGCCAGTTCTTAACAGTCGAATCCACTTTCCGTCGATTACACTTATGAGTTTTTCCGAATTTTGATTTCTAAATAATTATCTTTTTTCAAGTGGGAATGAGTTAAAACTTATATCTTATTATAAGTTTTATATTATTATAACTTATCATGCTTCCATGTGATTTTGGAATTTCAATCTGGAATTCAATTCAAAAGCTTTGCTTTTCCTATTGCTATTTATCTTTACTCCTTACAATATACAAGAACAATACAAACTACCCAGATAAAATACTTTTGTTTTTAAATACAAGAGGATAAACATCCAATAAAAAATGCAAATACACGGTTCACAAAATTTATTTGCAAAAACACAAAGAATCTTTCACTCGCATCTATAGGATTACCTAAGTTTTTGAAGCTGTGAAAAATGAATAAAAACCTCATCTTATATGCGAGTAAATATGGTAAATAGGGAAAAGCGAACACGTGGCCAAAAATAAACAGCTTTTACTTTAATTTTAAGTTATTTTTATATTCATTTGCATATAATATATGTTAAATAACACACAAACACATACACACAGAAATGTAAAGTTCATATTTTATGATGAAGGTCCTGGCTTTTCTGAAATTTTTGTTTTTTGTGATAAAGTCGTTTATTTTCATTTGTTGCTTTTTTTTTTTTAAGCAAATGTTGGTAGCAGAAGATTGCATCCAAAATGTCGTATTTTCCTTTTGCACTCCTTTCAAAATCTAGATCATTTGCTACAGTTTGATCAATGATTTTGGTTATTGTTACCAAACTTTTACTAAGGAAATCTGTAACAAGTTCTTTGGTTCTTCGCTTTCAGAATCTCTATTCTTCAGTTCTACATGAATTCCTTGTTCTGCCAGTTCTTGAAGGTAAGGCTCTCACCAGAAACCTGCAGTAACTCCTCAATATCCTGCTTGTCTACATCTCCTAGTCCTGCTGTATCAATTAGGTTGACAATTTGGTCAACCTAACAATACAGCGATAGGATCTTGTTGAGAATTCTTGGATAACTTGTTCATGCATTTCTCAGTCAATTCTTGCCAAGCAGTGAAGTCAATATTGACTATGTCATCTATGATGATATATTTTTATGCAAAATTGCACAAAACAAACATAGATTGTAAGAAAAGTACAGCGCTACAATGAATTGCCACCTTTTGCTGATTGGTTTATGTTCGTAAATAACTGTATTATATATGAAATGGCACAATAATTTGAATCAGCATAAATTTTGAGCTTTTTTTACGCTTTGAGAAGACCACATTATATCGAATCAGCATTAAGTGGGGTCTTACTGTATTTTCATTTCAAATATATTTTTCATATATATTTGAATATATTAATATAAATTCATTTTTTTAAATATATAAAAGTTTAAGATACAGTAATACCTCGACTTATGCTACCCCGACTTACGCAAACCCGGAGTTACGCGATTTTCAAATCTCATTGATTCGTCTTTTGTTTGAGCACCACGCAACTCTTAATTACTCACTCCCCCACACTATTGTTCAGCTTACATGTTCAGACATGTCACGCGGAATGAAAATTTGTGAATTGGCAAAGAAGTTTGATCTACTGGAATCGATGGTCAGAACAATTATAAAAGATAAAGATGAAATTCTCAAAGCTGCAAAAAATGCTCAATTTTTAAATTCAAGCATCATCGTAAACATCACAGTATTATCGCTGAGATGGAAACAATGTTAAAATTATGGTGTGATAATCAAGTAAATGTGAAAAATTGTATAATAATATAATTTGTTATACATATGTATTATCTAAGATTTTATTAAACATTTTTTTCTAAATTATTGTTTTATTTAGTCTCCGTCCCCAATTAAAAATTATTTGTATGTATTTATATGAGAAATTATACCCCAACTTACGCGAATTTGACTTACGCGGTTATCGCTCGGTCCTACCTATCGTGTAAGTTTGGGGTATTATTGTATATTTATATTAACAAAGATAGTCATTTTATTTCAAAAATATTTTTTTATTTCTTAAACTATCAATAATTTGATACTATGATAAATATTTATGTAATTTTATTTTTATTAGATTGTTACATGTAGTGATGATGTCCATGTATTTTTTTGGGATATAAAAGATAATATGGATGATGAAAAAGAAGTTTTGGGTCTCACAGAAGTAGTTCAGTGTAAGATTCTTATTAATTAATTGATACTGTATAATTATGTTCTTAATTAATATCTATTTAAAGTAAATTTAACCATTTTTTAAAAACATTAAATCAATGGCATCATGTGATATATAAATTAAATTGTTACAGCTAAGCAGTCACATGTTTTAAAAAGTATTGAAAATAATGACAGTGCTACTTCAGTCTGTTTGTCTCCTGCAACTTCACCTCCCATTTCTTCATCCACATCACCTCCATACACAGTGAGTGCTGTTAAAATATTTCCAGAAATTACACGTTGGTTTAGACCTAGTGGAGGCTCCTTCCTAAATTCCCTTCCTTCAATAGAACGTAAAAAACTAAGTCAAACTAATCATTCTTCGCACAGAAAAAGGAGATATTCAGAAATTACACCTAATAAAGAAACTGAAAATTCTAAGCAAATTTCTCAAAATTTAATCCTTCCTCCAGATGAAAGCAGGGTACTAATACCCAAAAAACAAGAAAATAGTAATACTAATAATATAAAGCCATCTGCAAATGCGAGAAGAAGTCTTGACATGAACAGTTCCCAAGAGGTCAATGGAAATGCATCATTAATTAACAATTTATTTACTCAAAGTAACATAGAAAGAAATAAAAACTGTTTGGAAGAAAATGTGGAAAATAAATTGGCAAAAGTTAATAAAGATAAACACATTAAGGTGAGAATTTTTTATATTTAGTAACTACAATTATTGAAAATTAATACTGTAATAGTAATAATTACTATTTTTCTGGACAGGTGCTGAATTCCAAACAGTTTGGATTGATAACCAATTACTTTTCTACAGTATCATCTGATCACACAAATTAATTCTATGTCATATTTATATACTGTAAAATAAAATTTTTAATTTACAATTAATAATTTAACTGTAATTATGAAAATTCAGACTAATTCATAAAATTACAAAAAGAAAGAAAAAATACATTAAGTCAATTTGAATATTGACAAACATTTTTTAAATAAATGTATATAGCGAAACATTTTTAAACATAATAGCCCTTTTTAAGTAAAAATAATAAAATTCGTGGCCGGCGTTATTTACATTTAATACATAAAAATATAAATACGACTTTTTTAAGGAGGACAGACACAAGTTAAAACTTTGTGTCTGTCCTCCTTTTTGCCATTTTCACCATCAGCAAACCTTTAAAAAGGATTGCTGATGGTGAACGGCGTATTATTATTATTAACACGTTAAACAACACGCAATGTTACATGCAACATGTTAATAATAATAATAATAATTATTATTATTATTATTATTATTATTATTATTATTATTATGTTGGGTTTAGTAGGTAATACTCGGTTTAAACCGGTGGCTGTGTACTATGCCGGACCAGAGTCAAGGCATAGCAACCAAAACAAAACTAAAATTAAATGTGTGTGTCAGTGTCAGTGTCAGTATTAAGGAATTTCCTAACAATATGACATGTATTCAATATAGTGGCCTTCTGTAGTGTGATGTATGTATTTCTACTCAATTGTAATGTTCCCAGGCTTTTGTGTAGTGTGTGTGGTATCACACCTGTACAGGAGAGAAC